CATTGAGGTTTGCATTCCGATCATATCAGAATCGTTAAAAAGCGCCCTTCTTCTGATGAACATGGCCCTGTCATTGAGCCTACCGCGTTCAACACAGAGAAATTCTGCTTTTTGCTCCTTCTCGGAGATTAATAGCTTCTCACGCATCTCTTTCGGTTTCGGCGCGATGCCTGAGTCAATCGCTTCTCAACTGTAACTATACTCAATGCAAAGACTTCCTAGAGCCTCTTTTGTGTTTAGTAGGGAATGGCTTGCGATAAAGCAAGAAATACCAGTCTCAAGAAGATGAAAGGTTCTGCTTGCTTCAATTCCATAGACTATGTAAACAAAACAAAGCTCCACTGACCAGGCAGCTCGATGTACACCTTCTCTAGGAAGGGTCATACCACCTTCAAAATAGAGAAGAACGTCACATTAATGTGAAAAGAACACATTCACATTTATCGACTTATTCTCTTTTTTTCCGTAGTGAAAGTACAGAGTGTGATGCTCTTTGAGGAACTGAATAACTCACTAGAACATCAAGTTTTACTAGTTCGAATGTCAATGTAATAGCAAGCGCAAACAGGTTACTACTCAAAGGATTGAGTGCGACTGCTTTTTTCTTTGGTAACAAAAGCTGAGGACGATAGAATTTTGCCGAACAACTTACGGGAATTCTACACAAGAGGCCAGTAGTACAGCCCAAAAAAGTTGAGGTCAAATTGCGTCTTCACATTGCGATGACTAACACAATAAATATAATATTTTATGGGTATTATAGTAAACCGACGTATTCGCCTATTTCCTCGAGTTGAAATGGCCGTAAAGAATAGTTCTCAGCTTCAGAATGGTCTCGGTCAATCGCAAGTCGGAGGCATTTGGAGAAGGATCGGAAGCGTCTTTGACTTTTGCCAAAAGTGCAACTGGACCAATGAAGAGCGATCTCTACACTGATGACATAGCTCTGATAGTGGAAAGCAGAGAAGAACTCCAGGACAAGCTGCAGAAACGACAGGAAGTGCTGACGGATAAGTGGCGTCGACTGAACGTGAAGAAATTCCTCAGCTCCGAGGAGTGCACCGAGTAATCGTAGAGGGTCTTGAGAAGAAAAGGTGGCGGGACGTGGTCAAGAAGGACATCGCCGAAGCTAGAGAAACGGTAGAAGGTGACGTAGATAGAAGAAAGTGAAGACGGCTGACAAGTATAGCGGACACTGTGATGATGAGGGATCAATGCTAAGGAGAAGAAGAAGAAGGAGCAGGAGCACTTGGCCAAGCCGCTGGCAAGACTTATTAACGAAGTTGGGATGTAAGTCTGTGTTTCGTCTGCTGCCGCGAGATGTTGTTCAAAGTGAATATTGTAAAAGTGGGCTTAAAGTCAATTTCCCTTGAAATGAGTGTCGGCACCGCTTGTCCGACTTGGCTCAGTGGATAGGTTCAGCAAGGGGTCGTCACTGTTCAAGTCTCTAATGACGTATGAGGTCGCTGAGAGATCAACATGTTTCTGATGGCACTTGAGTTTCTGATGAAAGGAAAGAGAGCCAATTTTGTAGGTACAAAGAGTTGGAAATTAAATTTTTCTCTGCCATGATTTCGTAACAATACGGCGAAATTCCTCAAACATTAGGCATCACACCCAATCAATCGGTTCCTGGAACTGAACTGTTTCAACTAGCTTTCTACCAATAAATCTCAGTGTCTATTACATAAAGTCCTTCAGCTATCTGCAGTTTTCTTTTGTTTCCGTAACAAATTCAACTAACGCTCTTCATACCGGTTGCCATTTTACTGAGTGGCCGTTATTAGCTAGCACCATTTACAACTTTGAAATAAAACTACTTCATATTAAAGGGCTCACGAATATGTTCTAGAGAGTGCATATTAGTTGTAGACTAGACAAAAGCATCATGACCTGCCTTTTTTTTTTTTACAAATAACGGCACTTTTCAAAGGAATTCTAATTCAGTCCAGGACTGGTTCCTTTTCCGAAATTGAATTTGCCTATACAAATATGAATTTCCTAAGCCTTGAATTAATTCAGGGGCAGACATTGCTCATCAATTCGCAAGTCCGTTGCTCCAAGAATACTTCGAAAAGGATCAAAAAGCCATATTTATTCATACAGAAATTATATAATCTAGTGTTCCGACTCTTCTATACNGGCGTGAAAAGAAAGAAGACGTCATCTGGAGACATTTGCCCCGCCTTGAAGTGCATCCGCACGAAGTCGTGGGCGTGTTAGCCAACTTATGCTGTTTACTAGGATTTGGCTGTATGGGATAGAAGTTGATCTGCTGCTGTCTAGTTTTCTCTTCAGTTCACCCTCATCACCAGTTCCTGTATCAATGCATAGTCTGTGAGCTTCTAATGAGGCCCCTTCACACGTCATCGTCTTCTATTCACAGCCACTAATGTCAACGATTTTCTTTCAGCTCTTTATGCCAGACATATGCCAGACATGTACAAAGTAGCTTTTCAAAGATCTCCTGAGATCTTTATCAAAAGATACAGAGGTATTGAGAGTTAGAGATCCCAAACAATTGAGGCGAGATTTGATCCCACCAATTTTTCGAAAGAAAGTGTTTCCTCAACCTGTTACTTCTACATTAGTTCAAAATTAGGAACTGAATAATAAACAGCTAAATTGTGAATAACGTAAATCAAGGAGCGTCACCCTCCGTACTGTGTTCCACCCCTTTACTAGACTATTACAATTTTAACTCCAAAGTTTGTTAAACCTGTTCGATGCTACCATTTACTGAAATTAAAACAATTAATAGCTGTTGCATGCTTTACAGAGTCGAAAATTCCCAAAATGGACTGGAGTAAAATTCAATTCGGAGTATGTATGGTGTGTGACATAATGACAGGGCTGAGACGATGTTTGGACTGCTTGGGCTCTGGAGTACAAGGTTACTGAAGACCAAAAATGCTGAAAATTCTTGTATGATATAATGTATTGCCAGGAATCTTCTACATATGTTGAAGAGATAGCAACTTTTTTAGTGGTTCGTAAGCTATCAGCGTGCTGTATGAAAAGGTGCTAGCGCTAGACATGCTCGATCTAGACATCTCCTGCATCAGCGAAGTCAAAATATCCATGTAGTATGTTAGATAATGGCTAGATCATTTCATTATGCGACAACCTTATCTGCCGTTGTTTATGAGATTTCCCAACGATCAAACACCTTTGTATAGACCTACAATACCACAGTCAAATGGACTCAAAACGAATCACTCCAAAAATTTATATTAGCATCTGGAGAAATTTCCGAAAACTCCTGAGAGACCATAACTACGTTGAAACGCTGCTATTACTGATTTCTATGAACATTGTTCACAACGAGTATTCCCGATCCCTTCATGTTTTTAAACATGTGTTCATGTNTCATGTCATGTGTTTCATGTTACTGGCACTGCTAAATTTGTACATTAGTTTACAACATCTTACCATTAATCATTCCCAAAAAACCCTGTCAAACTGAATTGAGAAACGGGCAAAAGGTTATTGAGGTTTCCGAAGTCAAATTAGATTTTTGTTGCTTCCGTGTTCAGGATACAGGGTTTTTCAAATAAGTCGTACGAAACACCATGACCATGTCCTTCGAGCCATAATTTGTTCCTAATTATTCGATACTTCGAATATAACGCACGTTATTGTTTCTGGAAAATATTCGTTATCACAGTGATCAGAAATAAGCGTCACCGATTTTTAAGTATTGTTAGGTAAGGAAATTACATAGCGGGCTCATGGAAATAAGTGTCGAGTAAATTGGATTGAATTCTCCGAATTAAGTGTACATTTCGACAATTTTCCGCCTGTTCTACATTGCTCCGAATTGGAGCTCTTTAGATTTTGCTCTCAATGAGAAATAAACTCGGTATTGAAAGAATTGGAAGAAGGTCAGCCGCAGGTTACTAATGTATGGCGCATGGTTGAACAAGCCTCAGCTCAGACTGTTCAATCAGGCCTTGTTCGTACAAAAACTCTGAGGTCTGACGGCGTTCTCGACTTGTGAAGCAGCTAATTACTCTAGCTTTTTTCATTGGAACAATTCACACCGACTAAGTGTAAGCACTGCCCAAAAGTTTCCTCAAGAAGTAACTGTCCGATCTGATATGAAGCAGAAAACTTCTCATTGAAAAAAAAATCAACTACTATCTAAAACCTTGATTGGTTTCCTCCCTTAGAACTAATTGCAGTCAGCTAGCAAAGAAGTCGNAAGAATGAGGTGGAAAGTTATTTATGTGTATGTTTTTCCAAGTTTTTGACCAAAAGGGATTAATCTAGTCGACCATATCCTCAGTTCATATGAGCTCGAGTAATAAAATTCTAGCCTTGAGCTCGTGCTCATTGTTATTCAGTACCATTTTCTGTCTAATCTGGTAACATTTTTTAGACATATCCTAGATTAGGCTTAATCCTTCTAACTTTTCGTCACGGAAACATCTGAGCAAGTTGTTGTCACTTTGCTGCATCAGGGCTAGGAGGGCTATGAGCATTTTTACGGCGAAATGTTGTTATGCTTCCCTGGGCAGAAATGCCGTCTCTGTTCAGACTAGGTTGATACAGAAGCATTTCTCCCTTTTCTTCTGATCCTTTCAGATAATCTTGGACCATTACCCATTTTCTTTCGCCATTTATCAACTCTGCTTTTCTAGACTACATTTTCCAAAGGATAAAAGCATTCACGGATGGAGGGATGGAGGGGCCTAGGGGAATGTCCTGGATTCTATTTCCGGGCATTGCTTGCGTATGGCGATGAGTCCCTTGCCACTGCACCACCTGTCCCCACTCCTTAGGTACTGTAAGACGACTATATATGCTTTTCTTGACTTCGAAACAAGCGTGATAATATTCTTTTTTACTTCCATTCACCATTCTGATAACTGAATTGTAAAACAGCCTTCACTCGCGTTACGGTACTCCATTCTGATCACTAAATGATGGATTGAAGCCTTACTCATAACGTTTTTTCCCCCGAGTTGTTTACTATCTTTACTTGTTTTCAAAGATGTAGAACAAAATACTACCTGTGTCATCGGTAAATTACACTAAGAAACTGAGAAAATAATTTAGATTGTTAGGTTTGTGTTGCGTTAACTGCCGTTTTTC